AGAAGTTGATAAAGTACTTTTCTTGTTGCTTTGTGGATAATTATAAACCACTCTAGGGAACAATTCCCTAGAGATGATACTCTGAGGTGGTTTCTCTTCAAATGAAAGTTCAGAAGGTGTATACTTATAGACCAATGAAAGAATTCAGCCAATTAAATAGAGCAAACAATATAGACAAAGAAGGAGATAGTATTACGCGAAATAGAATTCTCGAGATTACACCAAAAAGAATCTTGATACATTAAGCCAAACTGAAGTAGATCTCGAGCATTTTACAAAAATCTCAAATAATACATATGACAAACTATTAAAAGAAGGAAAAACATAAAACAAGCACAGCCTTCTGGAAGCGTATATAAGTATTTTGGCAGAGGAAATGGAGAATAGGAGGACTAAAAGGAATTAAAAGTCATGAAAATGGCGAAAAATGACTGATTAGTTAATTAGTAGGTTGTTGGTGGGGTGAAGCATAGTTGGCAGATAGCTCGTACTTCTCGTGTGGTGGAGGTGAAGCATAAATGAGAGTTGGCTTGAAATAGTTCGTCGGTGGTGGAGTTGAATAATATGATGATGTTTTTTCATAGGTGATTGGTGGAGGTGGTGAATTATAGGTTGCTCAAAGTATTTTGGTAGAGGTGGAGGAGATTTTAAGAAGGTATAAATTCTTTGTACAAGTGGAGTTGGAGACTTATACGAAGATGGATGCTCATAGTGTTTTGATGGAAGTGGAGGTGACTTGTAGTACGAAGGTGATTTCTCATAATAAGTTGGTGGTGGTGGAGACTTGTAGTAAACTGGAGACTTATAATATTTTGTTGGTGACGGCGACCTATAGTATTTAGAGGGAGTAGGCGATTTGGAATATTTTATAAGGGATGGTGACTTGTAGAACTTTACAGGCGATGACGATTTGTAGTACTTTGCAGGCAACGATGACTTGTAATAATGCTTTAAAGGAGTTGCCGACTTGTAGTAGTCCTTTAAAGGAGCTGGAGACTTGTAGTAGTTCTTTGAAGAAGCTGATGATTTATAGTACTTTGAGGGCAATGGTGATTTATAGTAGTTCTTTGAAGGAGCTGGAGACTTGTAGTAGTTCTTTGAAGGAACTGGCGACTTATAATACTTTGCTGGCGATGGTGACTTATAGTAATTCTTTGAAGGAGATGGAGATTTATAGTAGTTCTTTGAAGGAGCTGGCGACTTATAGTAGTTTGCAGGTGATTGTCATTTGTAGTAGTTGTTTGAATGAGTAGGTGATTTGTAATAATTCTTTGGCAGAGTAGGTGATTTGTAGTAAAGTGTAGGTACATGATACTTAAGTGGATATGGTGATTTGTAATACTTCATAGAGTTGTAAGAAGGTGAGGGAGAAATAAACCCAAAAGAGTAATCAGCAACAACAGTGCTAGCTACAAAGCAAATTGCCAAAGCAGTAGCAAGTCGGGGCCATTGCCCCAAATTCCCAAAGCTTCTCATATTGATTTTGCAACTACACTTGGAAGAGGGAAAGGAGAGAAGCAAGAAGAATCTTGCATAGTTGAGTAGGGAACTCTGGTTTTTATATTGCAGTCAGACATCCTTCTTAACATTTATGTAATTGGTTCATGGTTATCCACTAAGATGATATCATCAAAGTCCACATAAAAATTAGGTCACTATTTTATGGGTTCAGGATTCTAATCTTTTTAAGTTATTGAGTTCTAAATTAGTAATTTTATAAATATTCGATGATTCTTTAAGTTAAATAGAGAATTTGAACCAAAATTACTGGGTTCGGCCGAACCCACTTCGCCCACTCTAGCTCCGCCCCTACTTGTATATAATTCATCATTTTATAATACTCAAGATATTATTTTTCTTTCTCTGAGAGAACTTTTTTTCCAATAAGTTATGCAAGAACCTACATATAATTAATAACACATGAATTAAAATAACTAAAGTAACTATAAAATAATAGTCATGCATTAAATTATTTTAATTTTTTAGATAAGCAAAACCACATATTTTAGTCAATGCATGATTCATGCATTATTAACCCTTGCTTTCGAAATTCGAACCATGGATATAATTTTGATAATAGGCCTTATGCATACAAATCCACATTAAAAAGTCCTAATGTACACTGAAGATGGAACATATAAATAGACTAAAAATTACTATTTTCCGTGCCACTCTTCTTTTCTTTTTCTCACGGAATCAAATTGCTCAGGTTCTCTTCTGTCGCTTAAATACAATTTTACGTACGTTCTTATTCACTTATTCCGATGTGATAATTGTTCAAAGCTATTATTATTATTATCTACTAATTTATGTATTAGTAAGTTTTTTGTGACTAATTACAAAAACTTTTTGTTGATTTATGCAATCATCGAAGACAAATATGCATGGTTGACATATGAGTTATAGCTGGAATTTTGTGATTCCTGAAGTTAATTTGTGTTCGTTATGATCATTCAATACAATTCTTTAGGCTTCAATGTCATAAACCTTTTTTCTAATTTATCGGAGCTAATATATATGTCTGAAAAAGAAATAAAAATAACAACATATTAAAGAACAATACCAGTGATTCTAAATCTTGAATATACCATTACTCGTACATATTAAAGAACAAAACCAGGCTTCAATGCATGTTTCATGAAGGTCAATGTTCAGTCAGTTGGCCTTCTAATCTTAGTTGCTAGTTTTCAGTAATGTGGATATAACTGCTAGTTGCTCTAGTAATAGGAGGTCATTTGTGAGTGTTTGTTCACATACCTAAACTAAGTTCCACGTGGCTCACTACCATGATTCACGGGTTTTTTTTCAAGATTCGCAGCGTGCCACCTTCATTGTTATAGTATTATGGCAACCGAAGCCCACAACTAGCTTCTTCTTGTGTGCGCCCCGCCCTGCACTATCACTTTGTCATATCCATATTTGTCCCGCTAAACCTGGGCTCTGATACCAGTTGTTGGGCTCAACCAACCCAAAAATACTTTTAACATGGTGTGATATAGTCCGCTTTAGGCCAAACCCGCAGAGATTTCCCCAAAAGACCTCACACCATTAAGAGATCCATTAAGAGATCCCTATACCTTATATGTAGTCTCCCAATCTTTTTAGCTACCAATATAGGACTTTGTTCGCACACCCAACAATTTGGTTCTGGGATAAGTTATGTAGGTATTAGTTATGCATGAATTACTATAGCTCATGGTGGAAAATTGAAGTTACAGAAGCAAATAGCTAACTGAACTTTCAAAAGCTGATAGCCAAATTGATTTTTACTTGTTCAAGTCCTCAAACAAAGTTTTCTCCTATAAATTTCCTTCAGAAACCAGTATGGAGCTCTTTGTTGATGTACACGCTACAAGAATGTGGGATCAAGTTGCTGAAATTGATGACATTAAATTCGCGCTAGAGATGCAGAGCTTAAAAGAGAACGAGTATGGAAAAGATAAAAGCAAAGGAACAAACAAAGTAGAAAAGACTAGTCTTTTCTATTTTCCAGAAAGTATAATATATACATTTACAAGAATTTCATGCCTGTGTGCAAAGCATGGAAAGAGATGTTCTCCGGAAGTCCTTTCGTTGAGCAAAATTTCATGGAATCGAAATCACAATTACTGATACAGGCAGCATCAGCAAGGCATATGAAAACAAAGCTGATTGAGATCGGAAAAGAACTTGAATTTGAGTCTTGTGATCTTGCGATATATCGATTAAGTAAGGTTCGTCCTGGCTGCGATGGATTTTTATTGATAATATTTACCAAAGGACAAGGGGGAACTACAAGTAATAAATCCAGCAACAAAGTTTTCCCTCACTATCCCTAAATGTCCTTCAGGTTGCCCACATAAAGCCTGTAGTGCAGCTCTTGGATTTGACTCTTCGATAAAACAGTATAAAGTAGTGCATGTTTATGCTGATTCTTATGGTTTCGAGATGTTAAATCTAGGCAGCGCGGATAATGAGTGGGAACGAGTTTCTGGTCCGTGGGAAGATCTAAATGATCGTCCGTTTAATCCACTTAATTTATCCTGGAAGGATCCAGTGTCAATAAATGGAAGGATTCTGCATTGGTACGTTGATTCAGGTGAATATATCGTTTCAATGCAAGTGAAAGAGGGAAGATGCAGTATAACTCATCTTCCTAAACTTGGCAATGTGATTAAAAGGAACAACTATTCCTTGGTAGAGTTACAGTGCTTCTGAAATAGAAATGGATGTCTGGATTTTGGAAGATTTTCAAGGGCAAGTTTGGTCCAAGAAACATAGTATCGTGGTAGAGTTGACGAATTATATCTGTCCAAACAAAACAGCAAGACAGAATGAGAGAACAATGCCAAATCTTGGGAAACTTGTTGCTGTTGCTGGAGCGAGGAATGGTGAAGTATTGATTTTTAAGCATAAGAACTCGAGTGCATTATACATATATGATACAAAGAGTAGGGTGATGAAGAAGATCGGTATTAATATGAAGAACATAGAATCTTTTGTACTGCACAAGGACAGCCTATTTAGTATGAGGAGGATCTCATAGTGTCATGATTTAATTTAGTAGTATGTTGTTTAACTTAGGTTGGAGAAGGAAGACTTGGTGTTTTATTTTTGAATTGTATGTTAGTAATAATTGGTAATCTGTCTAGTCTAAATATTGACTTTTCCTTGGTTATATTTATGCATGTTTCTTCTACCATTGAGAATCACTGAAAAGTTCTTGCATAAATGTTGGTGCTTTCATTGTTACAAAGGTTGTTAAAGTCGAGGGAAATGCATATAGCGAAGATATCAGAGAGAAATATATTCTGTCCTGCATTTTGTTTGAAAACAGAGTTGGAAGAGAAGGGATGTAATGGAAAAGGTCTTACCAGGTTAAGTCATCACTCATCATATATATATATATGGGTTTTGCTAACCTACTACATAGTTATAATAGGTTAGCATTGTGTACATATTTGACTTCACTTAAATGCCCTTAATAGGGGTTCAACTAAGCATTATTGACAAGGGCTTTTTTGTCGTCTTACCCAAAATGCAAATCAAATTTTCTTTCACCTATTCCTTTCTTATCTACCGTCAATGGCAACACTATCCGCAGCTCACAAAAATAAAAGGTAAATATATTCAAGACCAATCTCTTTTCTCCAAAACAATTTATACATCTGAGTTAAACAATTTTCCTTCCATCGTTTTCTTTTTCTCTTTCAGTGGCTACTGCATAACTTTCAGTATGATATCAAGTTGCAGAGCTTCAATGTATTTCGATGGCTATTTTCTAGCGCCTCTTCTTCTCTTTCAATGGTAACACTCACTCTCACTCTCTCTCTCTCTCTCTCTCTCTCTCTTACTTCTACCACTTATTTTGCATAGTATGATACCAAGTTGTAGAACTTCATATTGGAGACTCATTACCCATTATTTCCATTATTATTGTGTAAGTTCCAGTGATGCACTAAAAATTCAAGAGAAGATAAAGAGAATAAATTTCATACCCTAGTTAGTGCTGCCAACCATCGGAATTTTAGTGCCTATCGACCTATCGGAATTTTGGAATAGGTGAATATAACAGTTGAACCAGAGTCCAGAGATACACTTGAAAAATACAAATATTTATAGAAAATTAAATGAAGATAACCCCAAATAATCACATTACAAAAGCATCGAGTTGCCACTCCTTCACCGATCGGAAGAGGAAGCCAAAGTAAGAGAATGCCAGAATAAAAAAGAGGGAGAAGAATGTAGGTTTAAGTTTTCACTAGAATGACAAAAACACCCTTATCATTAATGTATTGTTGAACCCCTATCAAGGGCATTTAAGTGAAGTCAAATATGTACACAATGCTAACCTACTACAACTATGTAGTAGATTAGCAAAACCATATATATATATATATATATATATATATATATATATATATAGGCAAAATACATAAGTAGCCACCTGAATAACATTTTTCAGATCCGAGAATGGAAGAGATGAAAACTGAAATTGCAACTCCTGCAATAGATGAGAAGCCCTCCCCAAACCGGCGATATTAACCTGCTAACCCCAAGAAGCTCCTGAATCTCGGTCGCCATGGTGAGACGAGGCCTACTCTGAACTGCCTCGATCTTCTTGGGATCAACCTTAATATCCTTGCCTAATACAACATGCCCCAAGAATGCCACAAAATCCAACCAGAACTCACACTTGGAGAACTTAGCATATAGCTTATGTTCCCGCAAGTCTGAAGCACCACTCTCAAATGCTGCTTAGGTCTCCAAGCACCTGTTAAGAACCTCAGTCTGCTCATCGGATTAGGGATGATAAGCAGTGGATGTGCTCAAGGTAACTCCATGAGCAGAGAAAAGTTCTTGCCAAACCTTGCTAACAAACACTGGATCCCTATCACTCACTATGTTCTCAGGCATACCATGTAATTTGTATACATTATCTAGGAATAGTTGAGCTATGTCTGCAGCTGTGTATGGGTGAGAAACTCCCACAAAGTGGGCATACTTAGTCAATTTATCCACCACCACCCAAATTACTGATTTGCCTTTGGATTTAGGCAATCCTTCCACAAAATCCATGCTAATACTTGACCATGCAGTACTAGGAATTGCCAAGGGTTGGAGCAGACCAGGATAATGAGAACTATCATATTTGCTCTTTTGACATACAACACACTCCTTGACATATGTAGTGATATCCTCCTTCATTGTTTTCCAATAAAATAGTGATGCCAGTTTCCTGTATGTATTATTGATACCAGAGTGGCCTCCTATAGGAAGATCATGCCATTGTTGAGTCAGATCCTTCCTAAGTTCTGCATCATTTCCCACAACTAGCCTCCCATTCTTCCTCAACTGTTGATTATCATAAGAATAGCCACGGTTTTCCTCCTCCTAGCTCTGTATCTTTTTTATCAAGTCCTGCAACTCTAGATCATTCTGCCAACTTTCCATGATCCTTTGGAACAAGACTGACCCAGAGTTGTTGATATGCAATGCAACTAATTCTACTTCAGGCAATCTAGACAATGAATCTGCAGCCTTGTTCTCCCTACCTTTCTTGTATTCTATAGTGAAGTCGAATTGCATGACTTCGGCTATCCACTTCATTTGAGTACCAGTGTGAAGCTTCTGCTCCAAGAGAAACTTAAGTGCCTTTTGGTCAGTCCTTACTATGAAGTGTCTTCCTCTCAGGTACTGTGACCATTTAGTGATAGCCAACACTAATGCCAGGAGTTCCTTGTCATAGACTGACAGAGTTTGATACCTATGAGAGACTCCTTTACTGATGTAGGTAATAGGATGTCCCTTCTGCATCAAGACTACCCCTATCCCAATGTCACATGCATCAGTTTCCACTATGAACTGCTGAGAACTATCAGGTAGAGCCAATACAGGAGCAGTGACTAAAGCTGTTTTTAGAGCTTCAAAAGTTGTGGTAGCCTTATCATTCCAATGAAAGTTGTCCTTCTTCAGCAGATCAGTGAGTGGCTTGCTAATCACTCCATACCTTTGTATGAACCTTCTGTAGTATCCAGCTAGTCCCAAGAACCCCCTTAGCTGCTTAATAGTAGCTGGAACAGGCCAATCTTGAACAGCAACAATCTTTCTGGGATTAGTAGCAACCCCATCAGCAGAGATAAAGTGGCCAAGGCATTCAATCATGTTGCTCCCAAATGAGCACTTGGCTTCCCTTGCAAACAGGTTGTGCTTCACCAATAACTCAAAGGTCAGCTTAAGGTGTACCGGGTGATCTTTCATGCTTTTGCTGAAAACTAGGATGTCATCAAAAAATACTAATAGCCTGTTTGGCCAAAAGTGCTTTTTTTTGGCCAAAAGCACTTTTGGCCAAAAATTGAGGTGTTTGGCCAAGTTTTTGAAAGGAAAAAAGTGCTTTTGAGGAGAAGCAGAAGCAGTTTTGGAGAAGCAGAAAAAAGTAGCTTCTCTCCAAAAGCACTTTTTTGAGAAAAATACACTTAGAAGCAGTTTTTTAAAGCTTGGACAAACACTAATTGCTGCTCAGAAGTGCTTTTCAAACTAATTAGCCAAACACAAACTGCTTCTCACCAAAAGTACTTTTGAGAAAAGCACTTTTGAAAAAAAACACTTCTCAAAATAAGCTGATTTTTGCAGCTTGGCCAAACGGGCTTTAAGATGAACTTCCTTAAGTATTCCTTGAAGATGTGGTTCATAAGACCTTGGAAACAAGAAGGAGCATTAGTGAGCCCAAATGGCATCACTAGATATTCATAGTGGCCTGAATGAGTCCTAAATGTTGTCTTGGCTATATCAGTAGGATCCATTCTTATTTGATGGTATCCGGACCTGAGGTCAATTTTTGTAAACACCTTAGAACCACCAAGCTCATCCAACAACTCCTCAATGATTAGGATAGGGAACTTATCTTTGATAACTTCAAATTTGACAAACAAATTACAGAAGTTCAATTAGCTATCTGCTTCAATAACTTCAAATTTTCAGCCATGAGCTATATTAATTTGCATATAGAATTTTACAAATCAACTAGCGAATGCACATCAAAAATCTACCTTTAGTTCCAGGAGAATCTGTCGGAAATCGGAGGATCCTATAATGTTTAATTACTACTAAAGCAACTAGCAGGTATATCCCCACATTAATTGATCGCCATGAAACATGAAACAACTATCACAGAGAAGTAGTGACTGAACATCGATCCCAATGAACACATGCATCAAGTAACAGAAAGAAGTACTTGCAATGGAAGATACAGGATTTTCGAATTCAAAAAAAGTGCAAACACGCAAAGAATCCGAGAGGATTCAACATCTAATACATATACAAAAAAAAATTGACTTCATATTTAAAGTGTAATTTTCCGACGCAGAGTACTTGATCTATAATCAATATAAGAACGGATATAAATTGTAGTAAGAACAGAGAGGCAGCTGTGAGCACGTGATTTTTGTCTCGCGTGAATTACTCCTACAGAATTCTTAGATTTAGGATTTTTCTTTTAATTATTTGATTTTTAGGAATTAATTGCATAATTTTCATGTTTGCTTGCATTTTTGTTTGCATTTTAGTTTATATAATACATAAAAATTACAAAATACATGTGCATTTGTTTTTAGGATTTAATTTTGCATTTTAAGAATTATGTGTAATTAAGTTGTTCTATAAGAAAAGAAAATCACAAAAAAAATAGTCATTTTGCACCCTTTAGTTTTAATCTTCGATTTTTCGAATTATTTTTTTAATTAGGATTAGTTGGTATTTTTAATGAGTTAATTTGGTTTTTAATTCAATTTAGCATTTTTAATTTTAATTTTTTTTCAGAAAAAAAAAGAGAGAGAAAAGAGAAAGGAAAAGGAAATTAAAGGTTTTTATTAAAAATCCCAAATTGTTGGGCCAGTCTTTGAATCAATCACCAGCCCAGTCAAATTACCCGTCCAAAAAACCCACGTCCAATACCCGATCCACCCCCATCCAATTCAAACGAGCTCTCCGTTTGATCTCAACCGTCAAGGTTAGGAGATCTAACGGATGAGAAGCTAGGGTGTCGTTGATATATAATTGTCCTAACGACCCCCCCCCCTACCCCCTTTGCCTCTCTTCTCTACCAAACCCTAAAGACAGATACCTCCGCCCTGAGCCGCCGTCTGCCACCGCCGAAAATCGCCTACGGCGGTGGCCGGCGTCCAATCCTAACCAAATTTACACCACAACACCCTTGTCACCCCCTCATAACGGATCTGGAATCCATTCCCTTCGAATCTTCATGGTACTCCTCGAATAGCCATTTGAAGCCAAGAACCCTAGCGCCGCCACAGTTTCTCCGGTGGCGGCGCCGACCCTTTTTCCCACCAAACTAACACCAAGGAGTCTCCAAACCCTCCCCGTTCCGAATCTGTTCTCCTTTCCTTTCGAATCGCCCTGAAATCATTCGAATCTAAGGCAAGCCCTAAATTCCAAAAGTATGAATCAGCGGAATAGTGAAGTTTAGAGCTCGGAATTGAGTTCAACTATGTGTTCTCATCTGAGAACACATGATTGAGTTTGATTCCGGCCTCAAGTCCATGAGTTTGTCGAGGATCTGTCGCAAAAGAGAATACCCCCTAGTGTTGAAGAGGTATGTTTAGTCTTCTTTGTTTTTCTATTACTGTTTTCTTTAATTTTTGTTCTGTTTTCTTCTTCTTTCTTTTTTTTGTTCCTTCCTTCAAAAAAGCCCTTTTGTATGTGATCATCTTAGGCAGTCCCTTTAGTTAGGTGTTCGTACTTGTTTACGTGTTCCAGCTTTTGCATAGTTAGGTTTTCATACTTGTTTGATTTTGCATTTTTTCTTTAATCAGTTCATTGCTTTAATAATTCTGATTTGCTAGCTTGACCAACCTAGGAGATAAATGCTTTCCTAATCCTGCTAGATTTTGAATTTTATTTGGGCTAATAGTTTGTTTGAACCTTGGTTATTTCTGGTAAACATTTAAGAAGAGCAGGCCAAGCCATGAATTTGGACTATTAGGTCTCTTTGACCCATGTCTTTTGGCCCGGATCCCTGTTTGGTAGACTAGAGGTAAATACAGGGGTCATTAGGGGTAGTATAGGCAACACACTTAGGGAATCTTAGTGTAACTGCCTAGGAAGCTTCTAGTGGGGGGTTCTTTTTGAATTTCAGACTTTTGATAGTATAACTTGAGTAACAAGTCAGAATTTTAGGGAGTCTTAAGCTAAAACAAGAAATTAAAAAAGGAACTAAGGGGTAAACTAAAATCAGCAGGGCTGCCCTAATTGCTTGCCTATAAAGGCATGGCATTCTTGCCTGGCAAGAGATCAGATTTTAAGAGCTAAAAAGTAGAGAAATATAGGCAGCTGAAAACTTCAAAATATTCACTGTTCTATTAAAGAAAATCCCTGAAATTCCTGAGATATTCATTCTGAAATAATTCATGAGCAACTGAAGGTTTAAAATGAGTTGAATCTGCTTGGTATTCAAGTGTTTAGGTCATTTTTGGGTTGATTTTTAATTGCTGGACTTTATTGAATACTGTTGCTGGTTCGAAATTGCTTCAAAGTTGATCATTCCTTGTTTATTCTTGGGCTAATACCTGTGCTGTGTTGCTGCTGCTTTGCATTGAGCTGAACCCACTGATTCTTAGCTTTTCTTTATCTCTATTCTTTTCCAGGTATTCATCTCACCTTCAATGTATGAAAATGGATGAAAGTGAAGATCAGTTCATTTGAATAGAGATTTATACAGAAGTAGTTGTTATTCAATGTTTCTGCACCTTTAAAGTTATTTAGATTAGCTTGATCTTCTTATACTTCTTTATACTTGTTCTGAATATGGACTGTTGTGGTGGTATTATTTTAGGTGTTCAAGCACTGCTTGGAAATTGTATATGTCCATGAGATTGGAACACTAGTCTATCTGACAATCAGTGTATAGTCCAGCTTCTAGACACATATTGTTGAAAGGAGTATGTCTAAAGTTAAGTGGTCCATGTGATCATGTAGATAAGTGTTTCAGTGGTTTATTTTTTCAGTTTTAATATGTTAACAAGCACCTTGAGAATGTGTTAAATCAGGATTAGAATATAATTTAATTGTTCTGTTTTGGAAACGAAGGTTCAGAAAAAATGAATGTGTTTCATTTAGTCTCCACAGCATCTCATTAATTAGTTCATCGGCATGTGTTTGGCTTGAATAAGAACGTGAGTCTGGACCTCTTATTTGGACCTAAGTACTTTTGCAAAGTTGTTAAGTTTAATTAGAATTTGGTTTGTACATCACATGGACAATGGGATGAATTTTGAGTCAATCATTTCAGTAACATGCTAGTTTGGTATTGCCTAATTTCCACCTGGGTTCTTGAGTGCTAAAAAAACTGTGAATCGAACTGATTTTAAAAATCAAAAACTGGAAAGTTCAGTGGTCTGCTTTGCACTCGTTTTCTCAAGGGCTTGTGTCAATATTTTTGATTTCATATACTATGCGTGTGAATGGTGATCCGAACTTGAGTTGATTCAGATTTAGCTCTTAACGGTTTGGGCCATCCCATGGGCTTTGGACCACGAATCCATGTGAGTGGAAACGGATTGGTCTTATTAGCCACAACAGGCTGTTGGGCCTCATGTCTAGCCCAATTTGATTTTCAACTGTTGGCCCTTTCTTAAAATTAATTGTCTCTTTATTTGCTCATATGATTAATAGCCCTTTAATTAATTAATTAGAACTTTAGTTATGGCTAGTGTTAATTATTTAAGTCCCTTAGTTAGAATAGAAATTGAACCATAATAGACAATAATAGTTCATGACTCTCTGAATTTTAGTTAGGACATCCTTTAAAATAAAGTTGAGGTGCGCCATGACAAACAAAAATGATAATTGCGTGGCCCTCGTTTTAATTAGCTTTAACACAACCTTAGAATTCGAGGTGTGCCATTTAGCAAATTCCATAGCCCTCGCAAAGCGCAAATGCGTAATTGCTTTAGGCGCGTATTTTAATAATCTACTTTCCTAAACTCGAGTGCACATTTATGTGACCCAAATCCAAATCTCAACGATGTTAAAATATTTCAAAAACCACAGGTGCATTTATGTGACGTGGTTCGAGACGTGTTTTAATAACGTTGCAATTTTTTCTAAAAAATGAATAATAGCAGTTAAAACTAAAATTTGCACATAGGTACATAATTGTTTAAAATCAGATAATTAGGCCAATTATAATAGTTTAAGCGACCGTGCTAGAACCACGGAATCCGGGAGTGCCTAACACCTTCCCTCGGGTTAACAGAATTCCTTATTCAGAATTTCTGGTTCGCAGACTTCACATGGAAAGTCGAAATTTTCCTCGATTTGGGATTCAAAATGTCACGACCCAAACCCCGGTCGTGATGGCGCCCAACACATTGCTAGGCAAGCCCGACTATTTATACAACCTTAGCCAATTAATCTCAATAGATAAATAAATATTCACTACTAAAAATACCAATTTAATGCGGAATTTCTGAAATAATCTCTAACATTCGAAAACCCAAAAATAAAATACTAAAAGTACTAATCAGCGCACAGAATCTAGTGTCACGAACATGAGCCTCTAATACGGAATATTCAGCTAACACAAGTCTTTCTAAAGAAAAATACGAATAAAAGGATAAAGTAGATGGGAGAGATCAAGGCTGCGAACGCCATGCAACTACCTCGATACTCCCGGATAATGCTGCTCAGCTAAACAAGTCCTCACTCACCCTGTGGTGTACCTGAATCTGCACACAAGGTGCAGGGAGTATTGTGAGTACTTCCAACTCAGAAAGTAATAAATATAAATAAAGTCTGAGGATAAGAAATCCTAAATAAACACAAAGTAAAGCTAAAAATACGATAAATAGCGAATACAATTATAATAAACACCACAACAGATGAAGGATAAATGACAATTAAATATGCAATGCAACACGTAAACCGGTACCTCTAGTACCCCGCTGCGGCGTGCAGCCCGCTCCATTTATTTAACGTTGACGGCGCTCACTGGGGGTGTGCAGACTCCGGGAGGGGCCCCTTACGGCCCAAGCGCAATAATAAGCCATCTCGTGGAATCAAACAAGCCCTTGGCCTCATATCAATATCAATGTCATACCACTGCGGCATGCAGTCCGATCCCATACTCAGTCCAAAATCACATAAGCCTTTCGGCACAATAATATAAAAATATTCAGCCTAAACTTCATTTAAAATATTATTTTAGTTTCTACTTTTAGAAAAATGGCTGAGTTTACAAAAACAGTGTTAAATACCAGGACTGAGTTCAATATCTAGAAATAAGGTAAGAAACCAGTAAAAATAATCCCTGAAGGATTTAAGTAGTTGGCACGAAGCCCAATTATGACAATTAATCCATTTTTATAAGGATATCACAAAACTACAATCAATTAGGTAGTAATTTCATTAAGCGAGACGGACCGAGTCACAATTCCCGACGGTGCTCTACCCCACGCCCGTTATCCGGCGTGCAAGTCACCTCACATAGCACTACGTTGTGCAAATTCGGGGTTTCAAACCCTCAACACCGCATTTACATTTATTACTAACCTCAAGCTGGCCAAAGTCCTAGCTTGCTATGCCCTTGCCTTTCGAATTCACCTCTTCGTGCGTCGAATCTGACCAAAACCACAACGAATACGTCACAATATGCTAAGGGAATATAACCCAATCGAAAAGACTCGAAAAATATCAAAAATCACGAAGTTGGCAAAACCCGAGCCCCGGGCCCACTTCTCGAAAAGTTATAAAATTCACATCACCGGATTCCTTATCTCGCCACGAGTCTATACATATAAAGAACACCAAAATCGGAGTCCAAATGACCCCTCAAATTTCCATTCTTGTTCTCTTAGGTTTCAAGCCCTAAACCACCATTTTTGACCTTAATTCCTTGAGTTTTCAGTGTAATTTCATGTATTTGCATGATAAAATTGTCTTCTAAGTCCAAGAATGCTTACCTGATCGAAGTCCTTGAATTTCCTCTTCAAAATCGCTCAAGAACACCCCAAGTCCGAAGTTAAAAATATGTTTTCTGTAAAATTTCGCGAAGGGAATTAAAACCCTTTCTGACCAGTTATTTCCGCGTCTGCGGTTACATAGCCGCATCTGCGACTTCCGCTTTTGCGATGGGGAGCCGCTTCT